TAGGTTCCTGCCTCGATATATAAAAAGCAATCAGGGGGTTACCCATCATAAATCATGGCCTGATAGGCATGCATGCACATGCACACAAGCACCCCCATACACATGCATGCAAAGTTTTTTTTTAATTAAAGAAGTATGCACAGCTAAGCCGTTCTGGCCAAGGTGTGGTCCTGCCAATCATTGACCCATCATTGTCAGGGATTCAGTCTCTCCCATAAGGTGACAAACCTGTCAGAACTGTGTAAAGTCTCTTCCTGTGAGATACATTCATTCCCCCTCTGGCTGGCACCTGGGGCTTCAGCCTTCTCCTTCATCCAGAGTGAGATTCCTGGGAAAATTCCAATTCCTTGGGGTCTGTGATGGTCTGACAGTGGAAGGGCGGGGACATGTGACTTCAGACTGATTCTCTGTTCCTGTCTGGAGAGTTATGTGGGGAGCAGAGGACAGAGAAACAAAGGAATGTGTGCCTTGGGGGCCTCTCCCCCTGGGCCCAGTATTCTTTCTTGGGTAAAATTGCTGAAGTTCCACAGAAAATAGCCTCCCAAGAAGCAAGACTCTGCCTGTCCATTGATAACATCTTTCCTGGGCAGCCAGCAACACCCCTAGACCCCTAGGCTACATGCTCAAGCTGTAGTCTAAATCAGCTCTTCTGTTGTCAAGCCAGGTCAGAACGATTCTGACACACATTCCTCTTGGTGCCTAAGAGAGACCAGGTCAAAAGTGTCCAGACAGGACGTGAAGGGAGACAAACCTAATGCCTGCGGCCCAGAGGCAGGAAGCCTGTGCTCTGTGTCACATGAGATTAGAATTCTCTGACTGTCCTGTGCTTCATCTAGGTAGGCAGCCCCCTGCAAGGGCTGGTTCTTAGCCTAGCCACCTTACCTGCCCCCAGCCACCAGGAGTGCCATCTTTGAAACAGTAGGTAGGGCAGAGGCCTTCCTCTTGCTCTCTCTCCCGTTTGGTGCTTTCAGGAACCTCTCACCTGCCTGGACCAGGTGATTCAAGGAAATGGGCTTCATGGGGCCTAGAGGGACTTCAAAAGACAGCCTGAAGTTGAGTATTTAAAACAAATTAGAGGGCTTGAGGTATAGTTTAGCAGTTGAGTGTTTGCCTAGAATTCTCCCTGTGAGGGGCTGGGGGTCCAGCAGAGCCCCTGCCTAGAATCTCCCTGTGAGGGGCTGGGGGTGTGGCTCAGTGGTAGAGCACCTGCCTAGAATTCCCCAGTGAGGGGCTTATCAGTATTTTCCCTGGATTTGATTGCTGGTTGTACACATATGCATACAAAAAGAACCAATAAAATGAGGGCAGTGTGACAAAGCCTAAGGCTCCTCCTCAAAGTAAACCCTGCACTAAAGATTATTGAGAAGCACAGGAAATGACAAAACCAATATACAAATGGACATCAGCTCAGCAAGTGGCACTGCTATCCCAGCTACCACCTGAGCAGCAGCAGAAGACACCTGCAGGGACATTCTGGGCACTGGCATCAGTCCCCTGCCTTGGTCATCCTGGAGAAAGAGTTAGGGGATAGCTATACCCCACAAGGGCTGCAATGCTGTATCTGGGGGAGCATAGATTCCCCGTTGATTCTGTCTGCCATTGTCTGTCAACCTGCTTTTAAAGACCGGGGAAGATTTTAGGGACCTGGTATACAGAACAGATGAGGGGTAAAGGTGCAATAGAAGGCATATTCAAGACCCACAACTTTGCTAGGGATATACCATGGCTGGGGGGAGGGGTTAGAGAGGCTGGAGAGCCTGCAGGGGTGAGGTTATGAAGGCTAAGCCATGGGACTTCATCCTGCCCTCCTATGGGTGGGTCACAAGGGTGTTCATTTTCTTTTCAGCAAGCTGAGTCAGGATGCAATGAGAACCCTGGGACTAGATTCCCCCTAGTCTGTGGGCTCTGAGTCTTCCATTCTGACACCAGGGTTGCCTGTAGCCATTTCTGCTTCTCTCAAAGTGGCTCTAATGTCCACCTTCTTCTTCCTTGGGTGCTAGCCAAGTCAATTCATTTCTGGAAGCATGACCCCAGCTTGCAAAATTGTGTCCCTGCTTCTTTGCCCCCTGACTCTGAAGCGCTTTGGATCACCAAATGAACTCTTTCTCCACTGTCCCATTGCTGGGTCTGGGGCTTACATTGGCCAGAAGACTGTGGTGGAAGTGTCACAGGGCTTCATCGGGCTTCAGCTTTCCACTTTCCAGTCTTTATGAGATCATTAGCCAATAAAATACCTGTTTGTGTTTCCCCTGCTTACAAATGATGTTATCTGCCCCCTTTGTGTGTTTGTGTGTGTGTGTGTGTGTGTGTGTGTGTGTGTTATAACTATACAGGTATGTTCACATACATGTATGTGGGCATAGAAGCCAGAGGTTGACATTGGGTGTCTTCTTCAATCCTACTCTCCACTTTAGCTTTTGAGACAGCTCTCTGACAGAGCTGGGAGCTTACCGACTCCACCAGAATGTCTGGCTAGTGAGTCCTGGATATCTCCTGTCTCACCCCCACTGCTCCAAAGCATGGGAGTTACATATTTACACCTCCACACTCCACTGTTTACCTGGTACAGGAGATCTGAACTCAGGTCCTCATGTTTGCATGCCAGGTACTTCAGCTGCCAACCTCATCCCATCAGTCTTTGCTTCTGAAGGACAGTCTCACTAGATAGCCTTCCCAGTTGACAGTCCTTTTACTACTGGGAAATGTCAAGCTACTTCCTTATTCCCAGTAGTACCAAAACCCTGCTGTTCTTCAAATTACTGTTCCCAAACAAGTAATTGATAGTTCCTGCTTCCCTTCTGGTTACTTAAACATTTTGGGGGGTCAGTTTTCAGAAGTTTGTTATGTGGATCTTTTAGTTTTTAGTTAGAAGTTATTTTGCAACATTTAGTTTCCCTAAGCTTCTTGGATTTGCAGGTTCATGGTCTTTGTTCAAATGTAGTACACTTTCTGAGTCCCTTTTCAGCCCCTTCTGTCTTCTCTTGGAACTCAGAATACTTGTTCCTTTCTTACTGTCTTCCAGGCCTCTAAGACTATTTTTTCCATTTGTTTTTGGTTATCCAGAGTGAGTTTTGTGGCTGTGTCTGCATTTACTGAGCTGCTCCTCTGTCATGTCCATCTGGTTCATATAGTGAGACTTTTTTTCTCCTTGGTAAATGTGGTTTTCAGGTCTCTGATTTCCATTTGGTCCTTTGTTTTGTTTCAAATATTATTATTAATTATTATTATTTCTACTAAGATTCTATTATGCTTTTTTCAAGAGAATTTATAGTTGCTTGTTGAAGCATATTTATGACAATTGGTTTGGGGTGTGTGTGTGTGTGTGTGTGTGTGTGGTGTGTCCATATGTGTGAAAGCCAGAAGTCAAGGTTGGGTGTCTAACTCAGTCATTCTCTACCTTGTATTCTGGCTTGTAGCTCATCAAGTAGGCTAGGCTGGCTAGACCCTGAGTTCCAGAGACCTGCCTGTTTCGACTCCCCAGTGTTGGAATTACAAGTGTGAACCACCAACTCTTGCTTTTTATGTGGGTACTGGGGATCAAACTCAGGTCCTGGTGCTTGTGCAGAGAGCACCCATGTTTTTACTCCATGTCTGCTTTTAAGTTGGTGAAAATTTCAACCTCTGACCCATTTTCAAATCAATGCCTGATTGTTTTGCTTTCTCCTTGGGATCAGATCTAATTCCCCCAGACCTTGTTAGGACAAACGATTTTGTATCCCATCTTAGACATTTTGCATACTGAATGATGAGACTGGGATTTCACTTCAGGCAGTCTCCTATGCAGTTTCCTTAGCATACAAGTTTTCCTTAGTTTTCCTTAGCATACAAGTTGGATAAAGGCATGGATCATGTGTCTATTTTGCTTCCTGTTGGGCCCTGTCCTTACAGAAGTGCCATAGTGACTCCCGAGTATTTGGGGCAGACTGGTGAGTAGCAGGCTGCTCCCTTCTCTGCCCCACTGACAGCTCTCCAACAGCAGCAGTGGAGCCATACCCTGCATCATCTCATTGTATCTGACCTGGGCCTAGGGGAACAGAGAACTGAAGCTCACTGTTAGGTTGTTGCAGAGAAGAGCAGAACATGGCTTCCTAGTAGAGTCTGATGACATATAGGATGCTAGGATGCTCTGAGCGTGTGTGTGTGCGTGCGTGCGTGCGTGCGTGCGTGCGTGTGTGTGTGTGTGTGTGTGTGTGTGTGTGTGTGTGTGTGTGTGGTTAACTTTGGGTGTCTAACCTCAGGCACCTTCTACCATTTTGTTTGAGACAGTATCTCTTGTTGGCCCCGGATGTCACCATGTAGGCCACTAGCTTCCAGGGACCCATCTGTCTCTGTTGTACATTATTTTTCTTATTGGAAGTGTTCAGCCTGCCAAAGACCAAAATTCCACAACCTATCTTGAGATAATCTTGTACACGGGCCTGTTCAGCCACCCCTGGACATTCTTGAGACCTTACTCAGTCTCACCACTTCTCTCTGTGCTGAAGGCGAACTAGCCAGTAAGTCAGATTATGAGGTCGAGCTCCTACCAATGGGATACAACACAGCCACCATCTGTGTTATAATAAAAACTCAGTGAATTTCCCACCTCCTTGTGTACTTGCCAGCCTGGATTGGTTCTTGGCACAAGAAACATTCTCATCTCAAAAAGAAATTGCCTTGCCACACGGTTACCTCTACTTTCTTTGCAGCACACTGAGAATATTCCTTTCCATCACCCCCCCCCATTCACTGGAATCACACACATTCATCTGCACGCCTGTGTTCTAGGTATCCAGACCCAATTCCTCACACTTGCAAGGTGTGAGTTTTTGGCAGCCCCAAGAGTTTTCTTTTGTTATGTGAGTGAGAGGGCCGGGGAAGAGTAGGGCTACTCCATTTTGTCCAGAGTAGAACTTCCTGTCCTGTCGTATCATCCAGTCTGTGCAATAGCAGCTTACATCACAGAACTGCTTTGCAAATGAACTAAGATCTTCATATGCAGCAAAGTCCGCCAGAAAATGTTACACTCATAGAATTCTTATTATTATTTGTCATGACAGTTGTTACTTCCAAGACTGACATCCAGCAAGACATAGCTTGAGGAGGGATGGGATAAATGTGGCATTGTGCCTCCACATTCATCAATCAATTTAATATTGGTGAAAACAAACTTGACATGGGGTCAGCTCTCTGTTGCCTCTTTCTCTGTTTCTTTTGAGTCTGTGGTGACCTTTCTCTTGATGGAGCAATAACCCTGGAGGGAAGTTAGGGGAAAACGGAGATTAGGTTCATGGCAAGGGGAGAACAATAAAGTATCTTTAAAGAGCTCAATAAACTGGGATAATTGAATAGTAAGGATTGTAGTGGGGTGGGGCAACAGGCCGTGTCTACAGTCCCATTTCCAGGAAAGCAATCACAAAGGAAAATGATACTGGCCTGGGAGGCAGAAGATGAGTTGAAAGGGACCCTAGAGTTGATGGGGACAGCCTCCCAGGATGGACAGTCTCTGCTGTAACTCGGCAGTAGCTATGACAGAGGCTAATTTTGGAGCTTTCAATATCCTAATGAAGACACTAAGAGTCTATTCCAGGGAGGTTGTCCACTGGGAAAAGTGCTTGCTGTTCAAGCGGGAGGACCTGAGTTCCAATCCCCAGCACCAATGTAAAAACCTGTGCATGACAGAGCTGGCCTGTAACCCCAGCACTGGGGGTGTGTGTGACAGATCAATCTTGGGGGCTCCATGGACAGACAGACTAGCCTAACTGGTGAGCTCCAGGTTCAGTGAAAGACCCTGTTTCAAAATACAAGGTAGAGAGTGATTGAAGAGGAGTACTCAGTGTTGACCTCTAGCCTCCACACGTTCACGCACATGTACACTCACACATACATACATACACATACACGCATACACTCACACTTGTACAAAAAAGTACATATACATGCACACAAGTACATGAATCATGCACACAAGTACATGAATACATATACACATGTACATATGCATATGCCCATGCATGCACACACAAAGATGTCAGGGTCTTGTGTGTCAACTATCCTTTTACAGGCAGGGAAAGAGTTCTGGAGTATGGCATGGGCACGTCCCTTGATCCTCATAAGCCTCAGTTTCCCCTCTTGTAAGAATCTGGTAAACATTGCAGCTTCCACTAGGTTGTTGGGGGATGGTGGGAAGCAAGGGTGGGGATTGCTCTGCCTGCCCACAACCAACCATAGAGAATCTATATTATAGGCAGCAGATCTCTTCCTCAGACCAGCTTGGTATAAACTGTGCTTTAGCTGAGGGGAAATCCCACTTCACGAGCTTATGAGCTCTGCCATTATGCCCTCCCTTTGATGGCACAAAGGTAGGAAAGCCAAGTCAATGTGACTGTGCCACAATCTCCCCCAGACTCTCCCATCTTAATCCTCCCTTCCTCAGTGAGCTCACTGGAGCTGGCCTATGGACATCTAGTTCTTGTGGTTGATCCTGCTGTGAGGGCATTAAACTGGGGTGGTGGCGGTGGGAAGAGGGGCTGAGAGAAGCCATGGAGCATATTCCACCTCCTACTTTTTGTTCAGGGTTTCTGGATTCAGAGAAGCTCAATATGCCCCCACCGAACTGTAGCTCAGAAGCCAGGAACCATACCCATGTTATTCCTAGATGTGCTATACCTGCCCACTCTATTCCCTCTGCAACGCTACAGAAGCCAGCTTCTACCAGTTTGGGTGAGCCAATGAGGCCTTAGGCTCCATTCTCAGTACTGCACAACAAAACAAAGCAAACAAAACGCAACCAAAATTCACTTACAAACATGAATGCTGGTCTAGACTGAGGCCCAGGCTGTAGTTTACTGACCCATCAGAGGAACCAGGGGGAAGGTCAATGTTAAAACAGACCAGGAGCAAAATAAACTCAGGTGATCCTTGCCTGGTCTCTCTTCCCAATTCTTTTCTCTTTTTAAGTGGGGTGCTTGTGTGTGTGTGTGTGTGTGTGTGTGTGTGTGTGTGTGTGTGTGTGTGTGTGGGTGCAGTTGGAACTCTCTTAATCTGTTGTTCTCTGCCTTATATAGAAGGGTCTCCCCTCCAACCCTCCAGACTGGCCAGCAAACTCCATGGGTCCTCCTGTTACTGTCTCCTGTTCCCATGAACAGGTGCAGCCACACCCAACTATAATGTGGGATTTGGGGATCCAGATTCAGATCCCCATGCTTGCATAGCAAGAACTTTACTGGAAAAACTATCTCGCCAGCCTTTCCTCCCTCTCTCCCTCCCTCCCAGCTTTCTTCTCTATATCCTACCCCCTTTCTTTTATCAGACAGGATATTAGCCCAGGTTGACCTTGCACTCATGATCTTCCTGCTTCCCTCTCTTAGTGCTGGACTGACAGACACCCATCACCATGCCCAGAGTCTTTTCAGTTTTAACAGAGATAAGAGGACACAGTGCAGGTCATGCATGGCCTCTGGTGCTGTGACATGTGAGAGGGTCGGAAAGGGGTGGCCTCTAGCTGTCATATCAAATGTCAACAGCTTATACTGCAGACTGAAATAGCTAGACATGCAGACCAGGTGACCAGGTGTGTGTGTGTGTGTGTGTGTGTGTGTGTGTGTGTGTGTGTGTGTGTACTTATTTGTACTGCATGGGGAGGTATGTGTGTGTGTTTAGAGGTTAGAGGTCAATGTTAGGTGTCTTCTTCAGTTGCTCTCTACCTTATTTTTTTAAAACAGGGTCTCACATTGAGCCTGGAACTCATGAATTCAGGTAGACTGGTTGTCCATTGTGCTCTCTACCTCCTCCATGCTGGGGTAACAGACACAGGGCTGCAACTGGCTTCATATTGAGGACCTGAACTCAGGCCTTCGTGCTTGGACATCAAGTACTTTCTCCACTGAGAGCCTCAGGTCCAGGTAGCCAGTTTTGAAAGGAAGTCACAGTCTGGATTTGGGATGAATATACATGTATGCATGTGAGAAAGAGTAGCTATTTGCATAGGAGAATATCTTGTTTGTGTATTGGCTCAAATTAATACAACACAATCCCAAGTCCTGTGTAGCCAGAGTGAAAGTTCTCTACACATCAGCTGGTATGACAGGCTGCTGGTTTACAACCTCTGCTCTCTGGAAATCACCCAACAATACTGCATTTATTAAGTAATAATTCATCTATTTCCCATATTTTATTTATCAAAGACCTCTGTAACTGTCAAGAAGAACTTCTTATCAGCAGGAACTGACCATTGGACAAGTGTTACCTTCCAACCTTATGATAAATCTTGGCCAACCAGGAAACCGTGACATTTTAATTAGCTGGAACATTCTTATCAGCAAGTCTGTCCAGAACATGCCATTTCACATTGTTTGTGAACACCTAATTGGGAATCTCTGACTTGGTCCTTGCAGGGCCACCTCAGTCACATAGGACCTTCCTCGTTATTTTACCTTGGCGGCTGCCCTTGTATTATTCAACAAACAGTAGTGCCATCAGAGCAAACACCTCAAACGCTGAAGCAAGTGAAAGAAAAAAAAGGGGGGTTTCATGCTAGCACACTGGCAAAAAGTACAGGTCTGTGTGTGTGTGTGTGTGTGTGTGTGTGTGTGTAAGCACGCATTCATATATGAGGTGTAGAGACCAGAGGTCAGGAACATCTTCCTCCATTTCCTCCATCATTCTCCACCTTAGTTTCTGAGGTGGTATCTCTTGTTGAACATGGAGCTCACTGATTCAGCTAGACTGGCTGGCCTCACTGTGAGCCTCATAGGTCCTCTTATGCCTACCTCCCCATTTCTGGGTTACAGGCAAGTGCCATCATGCCTTCCTTTAATGTGGGAACTGAGGATCTGAACTCAGGTGCTCATGCTTGTGTGGAAAGTGCTTTGCTCATTGAGTAATACAGAATATACATACACACATATACACACATACACACATATAATGTCAGATTGAGCTTGGCATAGATGGGAAATTGTCTCATATTCGGGTCATGTTGAAACTTCAGCATTCTGTAGTGGGGACTGTAACTACACAAAGGCAATCAATTATCTTCCATGTGGTATGTCACCACAGGCAAAGCTGATTCTTCAGAAACTGGGGACTAGACAAAGTAAGCAACTGGCCTTTTTTTTCACACTGACTTCCGAACAGTCCAGTTTTATCAGATTGAAATTTTAAGGGTTTTCTTGAGCCCTGTTTGAATGAGTAACTAATAAGCTACTCTTGTGTGACTGTGACAGAAATGCTTGGGGACAACTTGAAGGAAGAAAGATTTATTGTGTTCATAGCTTCCGGGGGTGTCCAAACCTTTGGCATCATGACACAATGCTGTTATCTCACAGGTAAGAGCAGCACAATTGAGTCTCATTGTTTTTCAAATAAGTTTTTGCGTGTTTATGTTTGGTGTGTAATATATGAACATGTATGTGTATGCAGATGTACATGCTTGTACATGTGTGTGCAGAGACCAGAGGAGTATCCCTTTGAGACAAGGTTTCTCATTGGACCTAGGGCTAAACAAGGAGCTAGTCACATCAATCTTTCTTTCTCTACCCTACAGTGCTGTGGTAACAGATGCAAGTATAGCCATGTCCAGCTTTTAATGTTGGTGCTGGGGTCTCAAGCTCAGGGCCTCATGTTTATGCAGCAAGTGCTCTTACCCACTGAGCCGACTCTCCAGCTTATCATGATGTTTTGAGTAACGGTATGATTTTGAGATTGACCACATTTATATCTCTCCCCAGAGGCATGTGGGCTGCCCGGACTGGTAGCTGGGGCATGTGGTACTTCATGGGGAGAGAGAGAGAGAGAGAGAGAGAGAGAGAGAGAGAGAGAGAGAGAGAGAGAGAGAGAGAGAGAGAGAGAGAGAGACTCCAAGGAACCACTCCAGTGACTTCCTCCTCTAAACTATCTCTTTAGGTTTCTAAAAACTTCCAAGAAAGTATTACCATCAGAGACCAAGTATTCAACACATGAGCCTATGGAGGGCTTTTTAAATTATATTAAAATTATAAAAGGTGTGTTCTGGAAATCACCCTCATGGATCCCATTTGGAGAAAATTGAACACTGCTGTATTATTGTCAAAGTAGCCATGTTTCTTATCATGGTTGAAAGGTTCAGGCATTACGCTGGCCTGCCCTATTACCTGGCAAGATGCACTCAGGCAGCACTCTGGCCAGCCCAGAGTTCTGTGAGAACCATGCAGGTACAAAGGACCCCTTTAAAGGACTGACCCCTGCCTGCTTACGCTCTCTCTTTTACTCTCATCTTCCTCTCCATCTCATCCTCTCTTACTCTCATCTCTCTCTCTTTTACTTTCTCTCTTACTCTCTTCATCTCATCCTCTCTCTCTCTCTCTGTCTCTCTCTCTCTCTTTCATATCTTATCTCTCTCAGCTCTGCACCGATTGGTTACCCCTCATCCCCCTGTCCACCAATAAAACTCCATGTGGGACCATTGAGTCGCGGTTTGTGTCTCGTTACTGGATAAACTAGATATTTTAACAACAATGTTGATCTCAAATTAGACTAAAGAGGTGAAGGCTGGGCTCGGAGAGCCAATCAGATTCCCTGTACTAGGAGCTGATGTGATAGCCCAGTGCTGGCCTTGCACTCATGAGGACCTGAGTTGATCCCAAGATCCCACATTAAGAAAGCTAGGTGTGATGGCACACACTTGCAACCCCAGTGCTAAGAGGGTAGAGACAGAGGGACCCCAGGGTTCTCTTCTATTCCTTGGGAGTCAGACCATGCCTCCCAATTCCTTTGGACCTCTCTCTAGTAACAAACAATTTCCATTCCTGCAATTATCCATGTATCTCTACAATTCATGGTAAAGACGCACAAAAGCCTGGAAACTTCCATGCCTTCCCTCCAGACTCAAATGCATGCCCAGTGCAAGTGAAGTGAGACAGGAGGGTGAAAGAGTCACACAGGGAGAGGGGAGACACTGCTCAGATGAGAGTCACTTTCACCCCCAGGGGTTTCCTCTATGAAACACAGGGAGAGGGGAGACACTGCTCAGATGAGAGTTACTGTTCACCCCCAGGAGTTTCCTCTATGAAACACAGGGAGAGGGGAGACACTGCTCAGATGAGAGTCACTGTTCACCCCCAGGAGTTTCCTCTATGAAACACAGGGACAGGGGAGACACTGCTCAGATGAGAGTCACTGTTCACCCCCAGGAGTTTCCTCTATGAAACACAGGGACAGGGGAGACACTGCTCAGATGAGAGTCACTGTTCACCCCCAGGAGTTTCCTCTATGAAACACAGGGACAGGGGAGACACTGCTCAGATGAGAGTCACTGTTCACCCCCAGGAGTTTCCTCTATGAAACACAGGGACAGGGGAGACACTGCTCAGATGAGGGTCACTGTTCACCCCCCAGGAGTTTCCTCTATGAAACACAGGGACAGGGGAGACACTGCTCAGATGAGAGTCACTGTTCACCCCCCAGGAGTTTCCTCTATGAAACACAGGGAGGGGGGAGACACTGCTCAGATGACAGTCACTGTTCACCCCCCAGGAGTTTCCTCTATGAAACTCCTCTTCTTGAGTCCACTTGAAAGTTGGGACTCTGTGATTTATGAACTGAGAGAAACCCCAGGAACAGAGAAACGTTCCCCTAACCCAAGAAACAGAGCTCTTGGGAGACCCTTTTTTTTTTTTTTTTGCGGGGTGGTGTTTCTTTAAAAAAAAAAAAGAGGGAGCAGTGGTGGTGGGGGTGGCTGGATCTTGAGTCTTGAGTGAGAGAGAAGCAATTTCAGTAATGTTACCATCCTGGCAGGAAGCACAGTGTTCTAAAAAGACACTTGTGCTGCTCCCTTCGACCATCAGGTCAGTGAAAAAGGCAACCTGAGGAACTGGAATTCCTCCTTCCTCCAAGAATCTCAACCTGGCAGAAGAAAAATCCTGGGAGTCCGCCTGAGGAGAAATCTGTGTCCTAAGAAGAGATTCACACACTTCTGACAATTCTCAGACCACTTTGCTGGAAGGATGCAATAGTAGTGGTGGGGGGCGGGGCAGGGTGAAGCCTTGTGTGAGTCTGCTTTGATATTGAAACCTGGGCTTCCTGTTAGAACTTGGGTGAGAAGGGAGGTCATTTTATTCCTCTTTGCAATTTGTCCACATCGAACAAATCTCCTTTCTCCACTTTTCACTGTTGTTTTGTGGTGGTGGTGTTTGTTTTGTTGTTTTTCTTTTTTGATACAGGGTTTCTCTGTGTAGTCCTGGCTGTCCTGGAACTTACTCTGTAGACCAGGCTCCCCTTGAACTCAAAGATTCCCCTGCCTCTGCTAGGATTAAAGATGTGCACCCTCCACACACCCCGCACCCCCATTTTGTGCATCTATTTGGCCTAATGGGTGGCCAGCCAAGCCTAGGTTGTTAGGGCTGCGGCTGCTGCCTGGCCCAGGCTCTGATGCCACCAACTCCAGAAACATCAAGTCAGCTGCTTGATAGGAATGGGGAAACTCTCCAAGTGCCTCAAGGTTATAGGCAAAAAGTATTTCCTTTTATGGGACAAATAAACAAAGCGAGTGAGAGCTGGTGAGGGGAGACAGATGGACAGGTGCAGAGAGAGGACTGTGCAGGAGGTATTGCTGCCTGAGGCTAGCCTGTCTCCGGGAGAAGAGCTATAAGGAGCCACTCTGTCCAGCTTCTTCCGTGGAGGGATTAATGAGTGTTTGGCTCCCCTTCACCCAGGGGGACAAGCAGCTGTCCCCACTGCTAATTAAGTAAATGATGGGAATATGGAGGGTCTGTGTGGCCTTGTCCTAGACAGACAGGGCTACCCAGGCATGCAGGCCCTGCTGTTTCTTAACTTGTCATATTCCTAAACCCCAGCAAATTCCTTTCTGACCTCATATGCCAGGTACTGTTGAAAATCTCAGTGTCTCCATTGGGGGAATCCATCTGTAACAACGGAACTGCGCGCCGAATTTCCTGGGATAGAGAATTCACACTTATTTCCATTTTACAGTAAAATAGTATTTATTGTTATTGGCATTACTATTCATATTATATCTACCCCAAATTCCCCAGGTGTGCTTCTTTCCTGAGCACTGTTTACATCATGTCACACAGGTAATTTGATCTATCTTATCAACAAAACCCCACAGAAATGAGTGACTTGTTCCCATTTTGCAGAAGAAATTATGACACCCAGAGAAGTTGTTATACTGTCCAAGGTCACAGAGCTGAGATTTCAGCCCAGCTAGTATGGGACCTGTACTGCTATCCTCTCTATTCTCACCCCCAAGGTAGCATCATCTTGTCACCCACAGATGATGGCTTCTGTCTGTGTGGCAGCAGAAATAGAGACAGGACCTCTGTGGAGAGGATGCTTCAGAAAGTAAGCAATGGGGCCTGGATTCCCATGGCCCATTCCAAATGGTCATTTTCAGTTGAAAAGACATAGTGGCTAAGGCTGGATAGATGGTTCACTAAATAAAATGCTTTGCATGTAAACATGGCAATCTGACTTTGATCCCCAGCACCTATATAAAAAGCCAACCATGGTGGCACATGCCTATGATTCCAATGCTGAGGCAAACAGAGACAGGAGGATGCCTGGGACTTGCTGGTCAACCAATTTAACCTAATTGGTGAGCCCCAGGTCTCAGTGAGAGACTCCCAAAATGAGAGGATGGCTTCTGAGAAATGACACCTAAAGATACCCCTGGTTTCGCACATGTGCTCTCATCTGTATACACAGTGTGCATGCACACACACATGCCAGCACATGTGTACACACAGTAATTTACCTTGAAGAAGGCAAATAAGTATGTTTGCTCCCAAGAACATCACTGTAGGAAGGGCCATTGACCCCTGGGCCACCCCTAAGTCACCAGCCATCTCAACATCAGCACTGGGAACACAGGTCCCTTTACTTTTAAGAGGCTCTTGAAGTAAATGAACTTGAGATTTCATTAAGATAGCTATTGTGTAAGAAATTGGGGCAGTCTGGCTGAACAGGTTTCCAAATCCAGGGTAGTTTTTAGAGGCACGTGTATTAAAATAAGATTAAACCAAGTGTGGCGACGCACCGGCAATCCCAGCACTTGGAGGTGGAGGCAGGAAGACTGAGAATTCAAGGTCATCCTTGGCTACACAGTGAGTTGTAGGCTAGACTATTTTAAAAGAAAACAAAGAGAAAATCAACCCCCCCACACCAAACAAGCAGACAAAACCATCAATCAGTCAATTGATAAAATCAGATTAGTCTCCATCAGATCTTCCTTACTCAGCAAGTAAGCCACCCCCATTTAATTGGGTGTCAGTGTGATTTTAGAGTTCACTCCAAGAAGGGACAGGGCCAGTGTGAGAACTTCACCAATAACTGAGCCCTACTGTGTGCCAGGCTCTGGAAGGATGTTTGAAACTGACATCGTTTGTAATCCATTTTTCTGTCTTTTTTCCTTCCCTCCTTCCTTCCTTCCTTCCTTCCTTCCTTCCTTCCTTCCTTCCTTCCTTCCTTCCTTCTTTCCTTCCTTCCTTCCTTCCTTCTTTCCTTCCTTCCTTCCTTCCTTCCCTTTATTCCTCATTCTTCTTGAGATGGGTTCTTACTGTGTGGCTCATTGCCAGCTTCCTTAGTGTTGGGATCACAGGCATGTGCCACCATGTTCTGTTGTGTTTAATTCTTACATCACAGGTGTGTTACAGCTAAACTTTGAACACTGGGGTGCCCTTCAGTTAGATTAACAACTGCCCCCCACCCCGCATACACTGTGTGCTGAATGGCTATGAAAAATTTTGCTGTGAGGCAGTTTCCATTGTAGATTGTGACTTCCTCGTCAAAAAGTGGGTCTTGAGGTACCTGCATAGTAGGGCACTTGTGAGAGTGAATGAACTCATGCAAAAAAGTAAGGTTGACATCCAGGGGGCACAGAACTGTAATCTCAGCATTTGGAAGGCTGAGCCAGAAGGGTGGCAAGTTTGAAGTCAGCCTCTACTACATTGGAAGATAATGTCTAAAACAAAGGCAAAATACAAGTTACATATAAAACACTGGGGTATGACTTAGAGGTAGAGCATCTGCTTAGAATTCCCCAGTGAGGGCCTGGGGTGGGGCTCAGTGGTAGAGCACCTGTCTAGAGTTCTCCAGTGAGGGGCTGGGTGCCTGGCTCAGTGGTAGAGCATATGGGCTACATGAGGCTATTTCTTAGATACATAAGAATGAAGAAAGAAAGAATGGAAGGAAGGAAGGAAGGAAGGAAGGAGGCAAAAGGAACATTAACAGGGAAAGTCAACACCAGCCATAGCTCAGAACCTAGTTCTAGCTTGTCCAGCTGGCTCACTTTTAGCAAATGTTAACCTCTGCGAGTTTGTTTCCTCATCCATAAATTAGAGTTGATTCCAGCATGTACTTCACAGAGTTAAGTTAAAGGTGAAGTGAAATCAGGTTGGAAAGTACCTGACATGTATCAAAGCACGTGGTGATATTTAGGCATTATTTTTGTTATTGCAGTCTCCCTGTGGTATGTATTGAGGCTGGCAGGATTTGCAAGGAGGAAGCAGGCTAAATCTGAGACACTTCACTCCCATTGTTTCCTCTGCATGCTCTGGCCTCAAATCTACTTCCAACCTTGGAAAGAAGGTCAGATGAAGACCTGACCCACCACAGGAAACCAGCCCAGGCTGCTAACCTTGGCTTTGCCCTTGGCTTTCTGCCTGCCCCCAGCACACCCTTGACAGCTCTCCAGTGCATCTCAATTCTCCCACAGCCTGGGGAGACAGCCAAGTTCTTTGCCATGGCATTAGCCTCTTTTCCCTTTTGTTGGAAAAAAAGTATGAAAAGCATCCCTCCTGCTCACTGCCCTACTGTCTCCTCATTTTCTTCCTCATGTTCTTAGGAGTGAAATCACCCAAGATATGAAGAGCATATCTAAATAAAGCCATGCTCAGCTGCAGCATAAAACATGTCTGTATATGCATGTGACAGTCAGCCAGAATAAAATCACCTCCAGTGGAAGTCATGGTCATGCAATTAATTATTCTAGTATCTGAGAAAAGAGACAGGCAGTCCTGTGGTGCGCCATGCTTGGTGGCTCTGTGAATACTGAAAGAGGGTTTTGCTTCACTCTCGCCGAGTGGCCGGTTCACAGCAATGGCTTTTGTTCCCATTAGTTCCTGTGCTTGGGACCTTTATTTCTCTCTCTTTTTTTTTTTTTGCAAACAGAGGTAAATAAAAAATAGAGGAACAGACATCAAAGGCGTGCTAAGTGCAGGAGGCATGTTGTGCTAATTTAGCCACAGGAATGCAGGCACTTGCAGAGGCTCTGATGGTTTTTGTTCTCCAACTTGGGAAGGAGGAATAAGCTGCTTGGGATTTTATAGAAAATCTGTTGTTGGCAGGAGTTCTCATGGAGGTCAAAGCCCTTGCACGTTAAAATGTCTGGGCTAAAGGGGAAGATGGTAGAATAAATGAAAGACTGGCCAGGTGAGCTTGAAACTTTACTGCCCAAATAAAGAGTTGGAGGAGAGTGAGGAGATGACTAAGTCAGTAAAGTGTAAAGGGAAGCCTTCCCACCAGCCTGTTCCAGAGTCACATCAGTCCCAAATGAACACACAGGAGGCTATATTAATTTTGAAGCTGTTGGCCTTGCTTGTTTCTTGCTGGCTAGCTCTGACTTAAGCATTTATCCCATAATTGTTAATCTAAGTATCTCTCTTACCGGAGAAGTTTCCGGGCTTCTTATCCTTATGGCGGTTACATCTTGACTCCCTGTGTTTCTCCTACCCAGAGTCCTCCTGGACTCCTAGTCCCACCTATCTTGCTTCCCTATTGGCCAACAGTGTTTTATTGACATATACACAGGACTTCCCCCATCATCTCCTCTTTTCTGTCTAAACAAAAAGAAAGGTCTTAACTTTAACATAGTCAAATTATATATAACAGAACAGTTATCAAGTAAGAACACAGTTACAATATTTTGTCTTTCAACATTTAGCAAGATTTAAAGAAAATACCATCCATCCCATCCTTGTGAGTCCAAAGTACTATATGTAGCTTATCTTAGTTTATCATAACTAAGGAAAACTATGATTATCTGCCTTCAACTCCATCAAAGACCACAGAAAGTTCTGACACCAAAATGATGCTGCAACGATAAACGGCACACTTACTGAAAGTAAAAATAAGTATTTATTGTAGAAATTACTTACAAGAGACCAAACAAGTAACCCGGATGAGCCGAGTAGTTTTCCGCCGCCAAACTGGAAGCTGAAAGCCGGAAAAAGAGAGCTAGACTTCCGCTGTTCAGTCTTTTATACCTTCCTCCATAACGCTCCTAGCCATGCCCAAAAGTGGGCCTGGCTAGTGACATAGTTCACCACCTATGTCTGTATACGTCTTTAGTCATGCCTAAAGTGGGTGTGGTTAGTGGTGCGGTAAACCGCTCTTTTATTACCTCATCTGTGTGCGCCTCTAGTAAGTCACATGGTTAATGGCGACATTCTGTTTTCCTCCTACAGTAAAGAGCTTGTCTTATAAGTGTGAGGGCCAGAGTTCAATGCCCAGAACACATGTAAGGCCAGGCATCATGGTTCCGACTACAATTTTAATCTCAACATGGAGAGGAAGACATGTACGAATTTCTAGGATTACTGGCCAGCTGGCCTAGCTTAGTTGTCAAAGTTCCAGGCCAATTGAGAGACCCTGTCTCAATAAAACAAAGTGGTAGCACCTGAAGAATGACAAATGAAGTCTTCTGACCTCTACACACACACACACACACACACACACACACACACACACACACACACACACACACACACATCCCACACCACACCCTGGGCATACAAATGTTGGCGGACTCTGTTGGAGTGCCTGAGGGTCATTTTCCTCAGGCTTCTAAGATCTTTTAAAGCTGGTCACAGCAGGAAGGTCATCACTATAGGAATATCAATGACACCATCCAACATCAGTGACACCAGTCAACAACACTGGTACAACAGGCATATGGAATAAGATGTTTTCCACCAAATTAACTGGTGTTGTGGAACATACCTGTAATCCCAACACTCAGGAGGCTGAGACAGCCTGGGATACATAGAGAGATGCTGTCTCCAAAAACCAGACAGACAGATATAAATCCTTGTCCTGGGGATAAGAAAAGCAAAACCTCCCAATACATAAGTAAGTATCCTTGATCTTAAGCCAATTCAATATGAGATGTAAAAATCCAGTTTAACCGAATTGCATTTATTGTGGTTGTGAATACATTCTAATTTAATTTAATGTGCCATCTTCTTTTGTGTTTTCCTATTTATTATGCTTCCCTTCCTTCCTTTCCTGGTTTCTGTGAGTTCACAATGTTTTCTTTTCCGTCTCCTCTTTCTTCTACTGTCTTGGAAATGATAATCACTCATGTTCTTCCACTGCGACTCATAAGGTGTCTCTGTCCCTCAAGCAAGAAAGGAGACAATGAATTCTGTCCCTCTTCCTCATTTTTCACATTTTTTCCTCTGCAGACTTCAAGGCTGTCTTTGTAAGAGTTGGTTTCAGAGTCAATGGTTAAGATTTGTCAGGCTGGGGAGGTGATCAGAGGGTCAATCACTTGTTGCACATGAAGACCTGAGTTGTTTCCAGCAACCATAGACACACAGAGAAAAAAGCTGAGAGTGAATAACGAGCACTGGAAGCTCCAGTGCTGGAGGGGGAGGAGAGAGGTGGAGCCCAGGGACTTGCTGGCTAGCCAGTGGAGTGAGATGGTGAACTCTGGGTTCAGTGACAGATCCTGTCTTAAACGATGCAGGCTGGAGAGTGACAGAAAACACCTGAGGGGGCCTCCACACATGCATGCATGAACTCACTTACTCCATAAGACTTGCTGTCATAGTTAATGATGTTTCTTACCGTTGTTTCCTATTTCTTCATCAGAGTGCATTGCTTTTGCTGCTGAAGCACGCCCTTCAGTAGTTGCCCCAGGAGAAAGATATCTAGACATAAACTTTCTTTTTCTTTGGGCCACCACCTCACAAATAACGACACAGAGACTTCTTAATAGTAAAAGCTTGGCCTTAGCTTAGGCTTGTTTTTAATTAGCTCTGATATCTTAAATTAATACATTTCTATTAATCCATGTTCTGTCACACAACACCCATCGTGCGTCCTCTGTGTCTCCTGGCATCTCTTTCACTTGCCTAGATTTCTCCTTCTACTTTCTGTCTCTACCCAGAAGTCCTGCCTATGCCTCCTGCCTAGCTATTGGCTGTTCAGCCCTTTATTATACAAATCACAGCAATACACCTTTACATAGTATACAAATATCCCACAAAACTCACATGGTGTACAAATACCCCACAACATTTTCCCCCTTTTGTCTAAATAAAAGGGAAGGTTTTAAATTCTGACACAGTAAAACTAAACGTAATAAGAACAATTACCAGGTAAGAATTACATTTACAATGTCCAGTCGACATGTATTTGGTAAATTCAGAGAAAATATTTCATTATCTATCCTATCTTAGTGAGTCCAAAGTTTTGCTCCTAATTTACTTTTTAATCCTAACTTGTATTACCAACCAAAAACTATCCTTTTAGATCTTGGAACATTTTCTTTTTCTTTTTTTATTTTTTTTGGTTTTTACGAGACAGGGTTTCTCTGTATTGTTTTGGAGGCTATCGGTCCAGCCCGGCCTCAAACTCACAGAGATCTGCCTGCCTCTGCCTCCTGAGTGCTGGGATTAAAGGCGTGCGCCACCACTGCCCGGCGGAACATTTTCTTAGATAAACAACTTAAGCTTTTATGTCTCTCAACCCTATATATTTTTCATCTCTTTTGTGAGATTTATCTGAATTTGGTAGCAAGAAAAACTGTAAAATTATAACTATTTTGTATCATATTCAACCCCATCAGAGATCTGAGAAGGATACAATGTTAACTGAGTAAGCAGAAAGTGCAGAATACACAACTTCCAAAACTGTAGAAATAACAGAAATAGCTGGCTGTATGGACAGTCACCCAACTTTCCTCTGCAATGTTGGGGCATCTACCTTCGGCCTATGGACCTAGAACATCTGACAGACTGTTCTATGAAGCAGGAATTGTGAAGAACTGTTCTATGATGTGTTGGCAAAGTTTAGCCATTGCCTTTGTTTGTCAGCAGTCAAGGCAAAGGCAGTCTTTTGCCAAGTGGCTAACTTTATCGCAATAAAAGCAAACTCCATATGGAGGTTCTTCAATGCCCATCATCTTTCTTTGAACTAAATTGGTGCTGCCAGTAAAACACATGTCTCATGGTCATGAAAAGCTTTAGGTTATTAAAACACCTGAAATACCATATTCTGTTGTTCTCTGAAGTGTTTGAAGACCACCTATCTATATAGGATATATCTCTTTTAACCTTGAAACATGTTACATGACTACAAGTTTGATTATTATAGTTGACTAACTATTAACCTGTATATTTTTTAAAATTATCCTAAATAGTTTGTAAGGACTAGAACTTTATATTTTAAAATGAGCTGTATAGACACAATACCTTAAACAAGAATAGAAATTATATATATATATATATATATATCATAGAAACCCTTAAATTTCTATCAATATACCAAAAATACCTTAAACAAGAATAGAAACATATATATAGTGTGTTTTAACAAAATAATCTTAAATTTGTATCAATATACAAAAATGCATACCAATGTAAAATATTTGAGATTAATAGCTGTTTTTTAAGTTAAAAAGTAGATTCAATAATCTATCCTTTCATCCTATCATTCCTGTATCCCCCCCCCTTTTCTTTTCAGAAAAAGATCCTTGAATCCAACCTCCCTTGATTAGTTTCCTGATGTGGGATGTCCTTCTATATGCTACAAATATGTGTTGCTTTTATTGGTTGATGAATAAAGCTAGACAGGCAGAATTTAGCTAGGCAGGCAATCATCCAAACAATGATGCAAAGAAAAGGAAGGCAGGGTCAGGAGATGCCATGTAGCTGCTGGGGAAGCAAGATGCCAGGGCATCACCGGTAAACTACAACCATGTAGTGATACATAGATTAATAGAGATGGGTTAATATTTAAGAGAGAGCTATCCAGTAAGAAGCCTAAGCCATTGGCCAAACAATTGAGTTGTAACTGATATTAAGCCTCAGAGTCATTATTTCATTAAGTGGCTGTGGGGACCCAGTGGGTGGAGAGAAACTGGTCCAGTGCAACTGGCAGGATGGAGAAAAGCCGCCCTCTCTACAGCTTTCTCCCTCACCATGGTCCAATAACAACTCTTAGCCAACCCCTGTAAACTATAACAAACATTGATAATCCACCAAATGATCAAAATATCATCATCTCACCTCTTGGGAATGTGAGCATCATAATTTTATAATTACTTTCTGTTTCCTGAAAGTGAAAGAATCTTTTGGACATCCTGAAAAAATTGGGATAATGGTCAAGTCCTGGAAGAGTTACCTGAATCATTTTTATTTAATATCTGTGTGATGGGAGAGTGTGTAGCTTATCTGAAGTCTTGGTTGGATAGTCTGTGAGACTGGACCATCACAGCTAGCTAGCAACTTTGAAGTTGTTCTGGATACAGAATTTTGAGGAAACTGCAACAAATGCATTCTGAAAAGCTGGATCACCTGGGCTACTTGTCTTTATTAGTGTCTGGTCCTTTATTTTTGAAAACACATTTTAAAAGGCAGCATACACACATATGTATTAATACAAGTATGGAATGTGTAGTGTGCAAAGTCAGTTAAAGATG